CTGCAAGTTTATAAATGGCAATTTCAATGGAAAACAAAAAATTAAGTACTGCAAACCAAACAACAAAATGTGTCTCTAAAGAGCAAACAAATTTCGAATGTGTAAGAAAAATTCCAGCTTTGTTTTTCTTCATTTCCTAAGGGAATAAATGCAATTACTTCCATAAAAGACAAGGCTCTGACACTATGGACCCGGGTGCACCTACTGCATGGACAATGGTGGCAACATCACCTGACAGCACACATGGTTACAGGACAAGCCAAAGTGAGGTGGTGGTCGATGCAATGCTACAGCCTTGAGAACAAACACTAGCCCACCCCTCTCCAAGAGGACTGATGTTTCTGACCATAAAGCACCTTCCCAGTGCTAGATTCTTTCTGATGTTCATGAGATGGGAAGGCGTAAGTGTACCTTGAAATGTACGGATCACATCGGCGTTAAGCGGCACATGGAGCACCTCACAGCTAAGAGCATGTGTGCTAGGCGTGTTCCTGCACGGTCATGCCCCAATGTGTGCACGGCACTGTGACCCTCCTCAGCAGAATGTGGAGCCTGAGTGAAAATCAAAATGCACCTGCACACCAAAGCTATCAGAAAGGGCCAAATCGCAATTGGCACAATAACAATCATGGGAATGGCTTAACCGTTAGGGTCAAGGTTTCTATATTTAAACTATTTTGGGTGCTAGTGCCCAGCTCTTGGACATCACTACTACGTATAGCATGGTTGCTCTGGAGAGAAGGGGTTAAATATAGTACCACTTACACAATACCTCTGTGATATAAAAAGGCATCTATCAACACCTAACGCTTAGAAAAAATCACAAGTGTATATCATCACATATTTTTAGTGTAGTCAACCTTGTTAACACATAACTATGTTGGTAGACTTGAAATATTCATCTATTGGCCTATATAAGACACTGAGACTTGGAAACTTAATGCAACCACAGACTTGACAAGTAATAAAAATAAACATTCTACCCGCAGCAGTGGAGTATACTGTTAGTGGCATAAGAAGATCAAAAGTCATCACCGGCTGGTGGCCCTGTCTATCTGCACTCAAACTCTGGCTGTCTGTCTGCATGGATGCAGGCTCTGGGATGGCAGAGGCCATGGTCAAGGCAGCAGAGTCCTACTTTAAGACTCTGGATGCAACCAGGAGGCAAACAGCTCTGTCAGGCACTGCCACCACCAGGCAGAGCTCTCCCCTGCCCTTTCTAGGGTGCTGCCTCTGCGGTGGCAACGCAGTGTCCGGGCCCAGGGCCTTCTTCACCCTCCACTGGTACCAGTCATAGAGCACTGGTCTCCATGCTGGGCTCTCTTAGAGCTGTTTTGTCCCCCAAGGAGAAACTGTGGAAATTAGTGCCAGTAAGGTGTCGGCAGCAGACCTCAAGTGCCTCCTGGCATAGTGCCAGGTTCAACCTTTAGTACAGCCAGTCCAGGCTTCAAAGAGGGGGCAGGACCCCTGATCTAGCTTCTCCCACACCAGGCACCGGCTGGGAAGAGGGGTCTAAGTGAAACCTAGCATGTATCACACACACCAACATGAGCGAATCAGATATGCACAGGTATCTCATATCTCACACACTACTACCAACAAATCAGATACTAACAGATGTTATATTGCTTTTGAGACAGGGTCTTACTATATAGCCCAGGCTGGCCTTCAACTTGTCACCTTCCTGCTTCTGCCTATTAAGCTTGCTAAGATTACAGGTATGTACCACCTTGCCCTGTTTTAACAGGCATTTTGAAGATAAGTAGGTGATTTAAGTGTGTTCTCAGACTTGGAGGATACCAATAAACCATTAGTTTGTATGACTGTGTATGGGACTATATAACGTGTCCTGTTTCGGAGACACATGTAGGGTTTCTAAGGAAGTGACAGCAACAGAACTCGGAAGAGAAGGAGGGGTAGGCCGAGGGTAGCCACGTCTCAGCAATGCTGACTTGGGGGTGGGGGCTTGTTATAGCCCTCCTGTTTTGTACATTTTGAATACTTCCTAACTAAAAAATTATCTCCTGAAAGTGAGGCTCCACTAACAGAGAATAGGAACAGCAAAACCCATTTTATAAGAGTCCTACCAGAAGATGGCTGAGAATTGATCCACAATCTCCAAGACGGCACATGAGATCTGCCCTTTGAAAGGAACACTCCCTTTCCAGTGCAGTAGCTTCATCTGGTACCAAAGCTAGATACCTGCTACTCGACACTAGGGTGGGCTCCTTAAAAAAAAAAAAGACAACTGTTACTCCATTGCATCAATCAATGCCTAGGCAGTATGTAATGAAGGGCAAGATCTTCATTAGCTACCATGTGTTATGTTTCAGATATGTTAACTGGTTTACTACTGGAGTGGTACGGGAGAGAGAATAAATTGTCCTGCCCAGTCCTGTTGTAAACAGGTGCCAAGTTCACCACCAGCCTCTCCATGCTAGCAAAAGGAGCCTTCACAGACGGCAGACGGGAGCATAGGATACCAATCCTGCCTTAGCAGTCTTCAGACGACTGCCCAACACTAGGAGAGGATAGAATGGAACACATGGAAGCACTAGCCAAAAGACAAGAAGAGTGAGAATTTAGGCTTAAGGAAGCTCAAAAAACAGAAATAACATGATGCATGTCACATAAACCCTTTGCTACTGTCCGCACAACACCAAAAAGAAACCAGAGACCAATATGCTCATGACACCTCACAGCTCACCGAGACTCCAGCAAGGCAAAGACAGCAAATCCATTCCAACTCAGAACTAGAGGTCTCTCACATGACTGGAAATAAAAAGTTTCCATAGGAAAGCTGAGGTGTAGTAGCACAGTGCTTGCTTACTTAACATGTGCAAGACTCACCTCAGCATGGAGAAAAAGCTTCCACAGGACATTGTGGGAAGAAAATCAAACTATTTCTGTATTGCATTACTAGATAAGATCAGGAAGGAAAACCATCAATATTCTCCTCCTGCCAAACTACTCAACCTGTGGATGGAACCAATTCAACAGTTCAGACCAGGGCAGGCCTGGGGCTGACACTGGTGGGGCTCTGGACTGCATGGCAGAGGCTTTTCCTGACCTCGACTGGTGGCATATCCAGTAGGTGCTAAGGAACCTCAGCCCCAACTTTTATAGTATTTTCAACCAGGGGCCTTCCATTACCTTGGGCATCCACTGCACACAGCTATCATCGTGTCTGCAAACCATCTGATGTGACAGAGACACCTCTCCCAGATAAGGAACAAGAACCCAAGATTTCTCACATTTTGGGCATCTTATGTTCTTATAATTGTTAACGAATAATTTGTTCTACAAGTAGGAGAAATAGCTTCCAAGCACTTTGGCCTGTTTGTGGGTCTGGTTCTACATTACCGCCACCATATTATCTATGGGTTATCACACGTACTAAGGAGAAGACCAGCTCACACTTGAGCAGTGCTCCTGCAGTGCATCCTACACATGGCACTACCTCCGTCTCGTAAGTGACAAGCAGAGGCCCTCTGGCACAGGGACAGTCTCAAGGACCCCCTTTCGGAAGGGGTCTGCAGAGGCATTATGGAGAGATTTCCTGCAGTTTCCCTGGCTGGACAAATCAGATAAACATCCTAACTGAGTAGGAGTGGCATGGCTCATCTTACAAAGCAGCATAACAGGCATAATTACGTACATTCTATTAAAGTCAACACAAATCAGAACTTTGTAACATTCAAAATGTGTAGCACCAGTTTTTACTTGAATTAAAGGCACATGTCCCAACCCAAAGCTACAGAGGCTAATTCCTCAGCCTTCAGATGGCAATGTATCAGCCACCAGGAGGAAAAGTAGAAATGCTCGTTTACTCTAAACTGGTTGCATAAGTGTTAACATTATTATAGGTGGAAATTTTAATTCTTTGACATTCAAAAAATATGAATCAGGAATTTTAAAAAATGGATTATATTATATATACATAATCACTTCCTATGTCTAAACCAAATGATTCTGAGCTCTACATGGATAGGGGAGGGGATCTCCTTATAAAGGAGTCTGCAGTGGTCAAGATGGGTTTTTGTCTACCTGCTCTCCTGGAGCTGCACACTTTAAGCTGTCCTGCAAATTGTAAGGGATTCTCTCTGCACCTGTCTGTACAAAAGGGTTGCTGAAGAAAAGGCTCATGTCCAGAGGAGCCTCAGCCTCAGAGTCCCATGAGTCTGTGTCTGTGCTGCTGGAGTCTTCAGCTGTTGTGGGCGGGTAGCTGAGCTGTTCTAACTGGTCAATGATATCAGAGAACTGGAAGGCTGAGCTGGACTCTGAGCGGACTGAGTAGGCTGGGAAGTTAACCATGGAGCTGGCCTCAGATTGATTGGCTGAGCTGGAGATGAGCAGAGACAGTCCGCCATGCAGTGGCATATTGTTGAGGGAGCTGTTCTCAGACTGGTTGTTCCTAAGGGAACTGGTCTCAGAGGGGCTCAATAGGCTCTGCATGAGGCTAGCTTGTGCCTTCACCTCAAATAGTTCTGAGGTGTTAGAGGGCTGCACATTGCCATTGAAGTCACTTCCCTCCCCAAATTCAAAATCATCTTCTACACTCATGTCTACTGCCTCAGTGGAGTATCTGTCAGGGCTGGACTGGGCTGATTCTGGGTGCTGGAAGGTTTCTGGACCACACAAGGGAGGCGAGACAGTGAGATGGGCAGGTGTCCGGGGATCCTGAGAGACTAAAGAGCTATATGGGAAAGAAAATGCCTCAGAGCCCCCAGCAAAGAAAGAGATGTCTGCTGGGTCGTCATCTATGAACTCCTCAGACACCTGCAGCTGTGCATTTGTCAATGTGAAACCAGGGCCCTCCCCTCGATGCTGCTGGCCACGCCGGCACTCCACCCTGGACAGGAACGGCCCAGTAGCGAAGCCACCCTCACCACTACCCTTTCTCCCACTGGCCCTTCCTGTCTCTAGGTTTAAAGCACCAAGACCCTGCCCCCTAGGACAGATGGAACTACAGCTGTTCATCACACGACAAACCCCAACACCTGGACCAGGCTGGAGCGCAGGGGGTCCAGGGAGGTAGGCGGACTGACTGCTGGGGCTGTCGGCCACGGCTCCTCCACTCCTCTCTGCTGCTGCACTCTTGATGTAGGCAGCCTGAGGATCTTCAAGGGAGTAGCTGCTGTCTTTGGAATTGGGCAGACCAGGAGGAGCCAAAGGGGAGGTGGAGAGCGGGTAAAAGGAGGCATTTGCTGAAGACAAGGAGGCTGAAGTCCTGAAGCCCTCGGTGAATGAGATGCTCTGCAGATCAAAATAGGAGAAAAAGAACACATAACATTACAAACCACTAGACTGCGGATGTGACTCAGGTGGTAAAGTGCTTGCTTAAAGAAGCACAAGATACTGAGTTCAAATCTCTGTATATAAAAAAAAACACATACACACAAAATAAATACAAAAAAAATCACCATTCCAAGGTTCAAAGTGAACTGAGCCCAACTTAGGACATCCATGTATTTCCCACAGCTTTCCTAAAGAGGGGAACTGGTCAGACTTTTGTAAGTGCAGGTGGCACTGCAAACCAACTCAGGGCCATCTGTTTATAATCCCTTATAATTCCATTCTTTTCTCTTGTGGCATGAAATGTCCACATTATAGAGAGCTATATCTAAGTAGGTGTCAGTAGCTCATACCTGTAACCCTAGCTGTACTAAGGAGGCTAAGGACTAAGGCTCCATGTTAGTAGCCAGCTCAGACAGACAAATACGAGAGACACCTAGCTCCAATTAAACAGCTTTAATAAGGCAGAAGTGGAGGTGTGGCTCAAATGGTAGAGTGCTAGCCTTGAGTGAAAAAGGTAAGAGAACATGAGGATCTGAGCTCACGCTACACACACACACACACACACACGTGTGAGCTCACCCTCCCCCCCATATGTGAACCTTTCATCATGGAGATCATGGTAAACAGGGGCATGTTGACTGTGTCTTTGTAGTACTCCTCATCACCCCAAGATCTGAGGCTGATATATTTGGGTGTTTACAATTCTACCACAGTGCCAACATCAGATGACAAATCCAGAGATTTACTACCACCAAAGAGTGCAGACACAAGGCAGCCCACTGATGCATGCAAGGAAAGGTTTAGGGGGGCTGCTCAGGAAGCACATTGTCCACCTCATGGCACACCTGAAGGCAGGGTGAGGAGCACTGGAGGGCAATGAAGCAGCCAGGCTGTTGCGCACTTTCCCTGGGTATTCTAGCCCTGTCCACACTGGGGATTGCACATGCAAAGACACAGAGTCAGTGGGGGAGGAGGGGGTAGTGGGACAACAGCAAGGGAAGGGGTGACAATGATCAACAAGTATTGCACGCATTGCTTTACTCATGCAATTGTAACATTTCTGTGCAGCATCTTTACCATCTATTTATTTATTTATTTGGGGTTGGGGGGCCTGGTCATGGGGCCTGAACTCTGGGTCTGGGCACTGTCCCTCAGCTCTTCAGCTCAAGGCTAGCGCTCTACCACAGTGCCACTTCCAGCTTTTTTCTTTTTGTTTATGTGGTGCTAAGGAATCGAACCCAGGGCCTCAGGCATGCAAGGCAAGCGCTCTACCACTGAGCCACCTTCCCAGCCCTATCTTTACAATTTAAAAAAAGGCACAGATTCACCTCTCTACATGCTAAGGATCACTCCTTATGTGTGCTTTGAAGAAACCCTTCAGACGGGATTGTGCATATGTACACAGGCAATACACATAGGTATATTGCATTAAACCATGGAATCTAAGTAAATGCCTTGGTAGGAGGCCTGGCAACCATTGTTCTAGAAACGAAACAGCAGCTCGTGTCCATAAGACATTCGTGTATTTTCAAACATCTAGCATATCATATTTTGAGACAAGGTTTCCTATTATACCCAGGCTGGCCTTGAACTCCAGATCTTTGAGATCCTACTGCCTCAGCCTCCCGAATGCAAGAATTATGAGCATGTACCACCACATCCAGCTGACCAACTTTTGATAATCATTCATCTGTGGCTTTTTTTTCCCCAGGGCTGAGGACCGAACCCAGGGCCTTGCGCGTGCCGGGCAGGTGCCCTTCTGCTGGGCTAAACCCCCAGCCCCCATCTGTGGCTTTTAAAATAAATACATTGCCAGGTGCCAGTAGCTCAGGCCTGTAATCTTAGCTACTCAGGATGCTGAGATCTGAGGATCACAGTTCAAAGCCAGCCCAGGCAGACAAGTGCATGAGGCTATCTCCAATAAACCACCAGAAAACTGGAAGCAGGGCTATGGCTCAAGTGTAGAGTGCTTGCCTTGAACCAAAGAGCTGAGGGACAGCACCCAGGCCCAGACCAACAAAAATACACACACACACACACACACACACACGCACACACACACACACATACATACACATACACACATACATACACACACACATTATTGACAGGTGCTGGTGGCTAGCACCTGTCATCCTAGCTACAAGGAGAGGCTGAGATCTGAGTATTGTAGTTCAAAGCCAAATGAGACAGAAAACTCTGTGAGACTACTTCTTCTTCTTCTTTTTTTTTTTGGTCGGTTGTGGGGCTTGAACTCTGGGCCTGGATGCTGTCCCTCAGCTCTTCAGCTCAAGGCGAGCACTCTACAACTTAAGTCACAGCGTCACTTCCTGTTTTCTGGTAGTTTATTGGAGATAAGAGTCTTACAGAGTTTCCTGCTCGGGCTGGCTTTGAACTGCGATCCTCAGATTTCAGCCTCCTGAGTAGCTAGAATGACAGGTGTGCCCACAGTCTGTGAGACTTTTATCTCCACTTAACTACAGAAAAGCCAGAAGTGGAGCTGTGTCTCAAGTTGTAGAGTGCTACAACTTTGAGAAAGTAAGTTCAGGGACACTCAGACCTTGAGTTCAAGACCCAGGATCAGCATATAAACACACAAAAACAGACATTGCAAGTATTTCAGTCTAAGTGTAATCTTTAAACTATTTGTTATTTGTGTCTATGTATGTGTGCATGTGTACAGTACTTCGGTATGAACTCAGGACCTAGCACTACTTGTTAGGCAGGCATACTATTGCTGAGCCATAGCTTCCTCAATTAATTTGTAAAGAAACAATTAAAAAGATACTGTCCTTTAATTCCAATTCGTATAATAATTTCCAGAAGAGACATACCTGGAAAAGGTAAAGATCCTGATTTAAAAGATATATTAGAGCCTGGCATTGGTGGCTCATGCCTGTAACCCTAGTTACTCAGGAGGCTGAGATCTAGGATTACATTTTGAAGCTACTTTGGGTGAGAAAGTCTGTGAGACTTTTTTCTAGCTTTTTATTGGAAAATTGGGACTATGAGTCTCTTTAAAAGATTATTGTGGGCTGGGAAGGTGGCTCAGTGGTAGAGTGCTTGCCTTGCATGTATGAGGCCATGGGTTTGATTCCTCAGCACCACATAAGCAGAAAAAGCCAGAAGTGGCGCTGTGGCTCAAGTAGTAGAGTGCTAGCCTTGAGCTGAACAGCTGAGGGACATCACCCAGGCCCAGAGTTCAGGCTCCCACGACCAACAAAAATAAATAAATAAAAATAAAAATTATTATAAAGATGATGTACAGAGAATTATAGTTACATACATGAGGAAATGAGTACATTTCCTTTTTTTTTGTTGGTCGTGGGGCTTGAACTCTGGGCTTGAGTGCTGTCCTGTGCTCTTCAGCTCAAGGCTCTACCGCCACTTCCTATGCGTACATTTCCTTTTGACCAGTGTCTCACTACTCCCTCATTCTCTCCTAGTTTCCTGCCCCAGCCCCCAGTTATAGTTCATTTCCAACATAGAGTCTAGTATGTTTCATTGCTGAATTGGTTCACCCTTGTCTCATGATTTCTGTCCTTCCCTTCCTTTCTCATGAGACTTCTTATCTACAATTAATCAGCAAAAAGCCAAAAGTAGAACTGTGGCTTAAGTGGTAGAACACCAACCTTGATCAAAAAAAAGCTAAGGGGCCTGAGTTCAAGCCCCAGGATCAGCACATATACCCCTGTACCCCCAACACAAATAAAAGAACAAATACATGATCCATTTATAAGAAGGGGTCAAGTGGCCTATCTCTAAAATCCTACTTTTATTTTTTTTTTATTTTTATTTTTGTCGGTCGTGGGGCTTGAACTCTGGGCCTGGGCGCTGTCCCTCAGCTCTTCAGCTCAAGGCAAGCGCTCTACCACTTGAGCTACAGCGCCACTTCCAGTTTTCTGGTGGTTTATTGGAGATAGGAGTCTCACGGTCTCTCCTGCCCGGGCTGGCTTTGAACCTCGATCCTCATATCTCAGACTCCTGAGTAGCTAGGATTACAGGCGTGAGCCACCAGCGCCCGGCTTAAAATCCTAGTTTTATTATTATTATTTTTTTTTTTTTTGGGTCCGGTCATGGGGCCTGAACTCTGGGCCTGGGCTGTCCCTGAGCTCTTCAGCTTAAGGCTAGCGCTCTGCCACTTGAGCCACAGCAACACTTCCGGCTTTTTTTCTTTTTGCTTATGTGATGCTGAGGAATCAAACCCAGGGCCTCTGGCATGCAAGGCAAGCGCTCTACCACTGAGCCACCTTCCCAGCCCCAATCCTAGTTGTTCTGACTTGAGAATTTTCATTTGAAGTCAGGAGATGAAAACTTGCATGCTGCAAGTGGTAAAGTGCCAGCCAGGAGCAAAAAGGCTGTGTGAGTGCATATGGCCCTGAATTCAAGCCTTAATACCAGGGGAAAAAAAGACCCATTATTACTGGGTGTTGTGGTATATGTCCATAATTCAAGCACTGGGAAGGCTGAGGTAGAACACTGCAAGTTTGAGGTCAGCCTAGGCTACATAGTGAGGACTCTATCTCAGAATATTAAAAGTGAAACAATCTACTAGAGAAAAGTGCTTCTGAGCATTAGAGCCTTAAGACAGGACATAAAGTGCTGGCAGAGTGCCTCAAGTAGTCGAGTGCCTACCTAGCAAGCATGAAGCCCTGAATTCAAATCCCAATACTGCCAACAAAACAAAACAAAACAAGAAAAAAAGAAGTCAAAGTGGAGATTTGGAAGCTTCCAGGAAGTGAGAGACCATCAGCCAACCTTAATATAAGAACACTGCAGAGATAACAACTGTAAACGTGAGAATGCAGAAGCTCCAGTCAGCTCTTACCGCACAGGATTACCACAAAGCAACAGGATTCTAGGTACAATCCTGCACCTGTGTGGAAGGTCATGGAATGCACTGGAGCAGAATGGCCACTGACATCTCAGTGCAGGGTTTAGGGCATTCCTGCTACATGTTCTTCACTGGGGTAACTGCAAACCTTCTGTGTGTCCTTGCTTTAAGTACAAGAGCCATCATGCCACACACGTGCAATGTAAAGCAAGGCTGTCTCCAAGCTTTGTATACTCTTTACAGGTAGTCTCTTGACAGTTATACACGAGCTAGGCATCGTGGTGCACCCTTGTAAACTCAGTACTTGGGAAGCACAGGTAGGAGAATCTGAAGTTTGAGGTCCCCAAAGCAATGACTCTGAATGGGTAGGTAAGGGGTGGTGGGTGCGCAGGGTTCTCCAGTGGACTATGAACAACATTCAGGACTCAGATTTGAAGACAGTCTCAGAACTGGGACATCTGAATGTCCGATTTGGAGGTGGTTGTTGTAACAACTGCAGATGATTTCAACCAGAAAAGACTAACCTGTTTGGGCATGTCTGCAGCCAGAGCACGGAAAGATGTTCGGGTCTTGCTGTGCCGCCTACAAAACAGAAAAAGTATCAACAGCCAGACCCTCCTTTTCTATACACCTGCTTCTAGAGAAGAAAGCGTGTGCTGTGTCCATGAAAAAGAGCTCACCCAAGAATGCTGCAGAGGCAGGGGGTGTGCTAGAAATGGGCAGGCTAACAGGGAACAGTAATAGAAATAAAACAGAGACCACTAAAGCAGACACTGGTGGTTCATGCCTATAATCCTAGTCACTCAGGAGGCTGAGATCTGAGAATTATGTTTCAAAGTCAGCCTGAGCAGGAAAGTCTATTAGACTCATATCTCCAAATTCACTACCAAAAAAGCTGGAAGTAGAGCTATGGCTCATATGGTAGAGAACTAGCCTTGAGCAAAAAAACTAAGGGACAATGTCCAGGGCCTGAGTTCAAGCTCCAGCAGCAGCACAAAAACACAAACAAAAAGCAACAACAACAAAAACTAAAATGAAGGCCACAAAGAGGTAAAAACACAAACTGACATTAAATGAAAAATCCCACACATATTTTCAGATTAAAAGTTCAGCATACTATGTAAAACTACTAAGTAAGATCAGTATAGCGCATGCATGCAATATCTGCATGAAGACATTACCAACCCTTTTTCTTTAAAAAACTGAAAAGAGTTCCAGCACTGAGGTGTTTGCATAATTTGTAATGATTTTAATTCAAGTAGTTATTTTATACTTTACCTTTCATATGGAGTTCTCTTCATTCCACCATCTTTGACATAGTCTACTAATTGTTTTTGAGTTCTTCCACTGTGAATAAAGATTCAAGATTTGTAAAAAAGGACAAACAGTAATTCACAGCTTTGTTTTTCATAGTTAGAAAGATGCCCATCCTGGTCTCTGTGAAGCCTCTGAGCCACTGAGAAGGGAACTTGAGTCACTGGTTTGTGCTTCCCCCACACTCGAGGTGGCTACCGAGCCTGAAGGCTGTGAGGCAGCAGAGAAAGAGGCCTTGGGGTGCTGGAGAGGAGGGGGGGCTACGGGGGTGACTACTGGACGTCTCAGTAAGTCCTAGCTGGCCACATCACTAACGCCAACTAATTTACAGGGTCACACTATGTTGCTCAAGATATCCTCAAACTCATGATCCTCCTATCTGAGCCTCTCAGGTGCTGGGATTACAGGCCCCAACCACCATGCCTGGTTAACAATCATTTTGTAGGGGCTGCGAAGGTGGCTCAGTGGTAGAGTGCTTGCCTTGCATGCATGAGGCCCTCGGTTCAGTTCCTCAGCACCACATAAGCAGAAAAAGCTGGAAGTGGTGCTATGGCTCAAGTGGTAGAGCGCTAGCTTTGAGCTGAAGAGGTGAGGGACAGCGCGCAGGCCCAGAGTTAAGGCCACACAACCAACAAAAAAACAAACAAATGAACAATCATTTTGTAAACATGAATTTATTTTATTTTTTTGTTGGTTCTGGGGCCCGGACTCTGGGCCCTGGGTGCTGTCCCTCAGCTCTTCAGCTCAAGGCTAGCGCTCTACCACTTGAGCCACTTTCGACTTTTTCTGCTTATGTGGTTCTGAGGAATCAAACTCAGGGCTTCATGCATGCAAGTCAAGCACTCTACCATTGAGCCACCTTCCCAGCCCAAATTTATTTCAAAATAAAAATAAGAATAGCAATAATTACAACAGTAATTTGTAAAATAGTTGTAATAATATTCTCCCAAATTCTGTTCTGTTTTTGGGTCCAGTTGTGGGGCCTGAACTCTGGGCCTGGGCGCTGTCCCTCAGCTCTTCAGCTCAAGGCTAGCTCTCTACCACTTGAGCCACAGCGCCACTTCCGGCTTTTTTTTTTTTTTTTTTTGCTTATGTGGTGCTGAGGAATCGAACCCAGGGCCTCATGCATGCAAGGCAAGCACCCTACCGCTGAGCCACCTTCCCAGCCCTCTCCCAAATTCTGTAAGTCACAGGACAGAGAGGGGATTATAGCATGGAGGGAAGTATTTAATAATGTTCTTTAATTATTTCATTCCTACTCCAAAGTGTTAACTTACATTCTAATACATATGCACTCTCTCTCTCTCTCTCGCTTGCTGGGTTCAAACCTTTGGATTCACAAATGCTAAATATATACTTTACCCTCAAACTATACCTGATCCTCTGTGTTCCAGTATATTTATTTTGTCTTTTGCAAAAGCCAAAAACTTATCTGCCAATTCTGTTTTAGATAGTTACTGCATTCTCCAATTCACGATGATCAGACTTACTAGTTTTGACTTTGTAATAATGCAAAAGTAATGCACAGTCAGTAGAAGCCATACTTTAGACTTTGATCTTTTGCCTCTGGCTAGCTATTTGCTGTGTGATATTCTCTATGTGCACAGCCAGCACCTGACACCCAATCAGGAGAATAAATAATTGATATTCTGGGCATTGGGCTGCTAATAGTTTGATAGGGGTGCATGTTACATGCTTTCCATTTACAATCGCCCCACGACAGGACCCCCCCCCCCGAAAAAAAAAGAACATGCCCACCCTTTCCCTTAAATATACAGGATATATTTCAAAGTTGCATTTTATAAAAAGCATTTCTGGTTTGTTGTTTATTGATGATACTAAGGATTGAACTACACTTGATAAGTAGATGCTCTACCACTTGAGCCACACCTCTAGAACCTCTTTCTATTAGTTATTTTTGAGTAGAGTCTGGCTTTATACCAGACCTGGGCTATGGCCCTTCTCTTTGTGCTTTACTATGTCATTGGGGATGAGAGCTGTGCACCACTGTGCTCAGCCACTGGTTGAGGTAGTCTCATGAATCCTTCTGCCTGGACTGTCTTGAAACCATGATCCTCCAATCTCTGCCTCCCAAATAGCTAGGATTATAGACTTGAGGAACCACTTCCAGCCATAACAGATTTTCTAGGCAAAGTGTCTGCTCTCAAAGAACTGTTCTTGCCAGTTCTTGTGTGAATGTGATTCTCTGCCCTCCCTCCTTAAGAGACAGCCATGACACAGCGGCAGCACAGCCCTACCTGTATCTGAAGGAAGAGCCTCGGCTGAAGAAGACAGCTTTTCCCTTCGGCTTAGGCTGGTCAAAAAGTCTGAAAAAGGTGTGGTACTCCACACAAATCTTCCAGAAATTCTTACACGCATCTCTGCTTCCCAACAAGAATTCTAATGTGTCCTGGTAGGATCCCTACAAACAAAATACCTAGGTTTAAATAGGAAATTTGACAATAAAGTACTGGACAATAGAAAACACATTTAGGAAGCAGATCACACAAAAGGCAGTTAAAAAACTAAAAATAAGGAGCTCCCCCCTTATTTTTTGGATACCCAAGAGATGCAGCTTTAAGGCTCACAAATAGCAATATGAGGAAACCCCCACATTCTCCTATAGCTATTCCTTCTGATAAATTCTTAGAAATGAAATGCTGAGCTCAAAAGATAATGCAATTTCTGAACTTTCTGATATTACCAAGTTCCTCTTCCCAAATACTGTAATGATTTGATTTCCCTCGTCTTAAAGAAACCTAGATATTTAGGGATATATGACACTAACTTTGCCAGTTTATAGATACAACCATGGCTCTGGTCTTTGAAATGTGCTATCCCAAGTAACAGTTACTTTTGCAAACTTAGCAATAATTTTCTTTTCTATCTTCTCAGAACAACTGCAGAGAACACTTTTTACTCAGAGGATCTGCATTTTGTTTGGCATTCCTACTTTCCTTTCATCCACAGAAGAACAACTTGAATTATAAACAATAAATCATTCTATCTCCAGGCATTGTAGTACATGCTATAATCCCAGCACTGAGGCAAGAGGACAAGTTCCTAGACAGTTTTTGAGACTGTCTCAAAACAAACAAACAAAAATTAAAATAAAAACATGCGCGCGCACACACACGCACACACACGCACACACACACACACTTCCAAGTCACTACCAAAACAGCAATATAGTAGACATGAACCTGGAATCTGATAAATCAAGAGCCTTTCTTTTGACTGGTCTAAGGGCTCAGAACACCTAGTGAACTAAAGTGTGTTTAAGCTGACTCAGGTGGCACCTCAAGTTTCAGCTTCACAGTGGTTCAGCTAATTTGGTTTTTATTTCTTAATTTCCTCTGAACAAAGGAAATGCAATAATTCGAACATCCATGAACAGATATGTGAAGTATTGATTTTTTTCCAACTATCAGCTTGTACGTGTATGTCTATGTTTGTGTGTGTATTTTCTTTCCTGGTGCTGAGTTTGAGCTTGGAGCCTCTGGCCTGCTCAGTATGCTCACTTGGTTAGTGTTCTACCACTGGAGTCATATTTCCAGCCAGGCCTTTTGCTGGTTATTTTGGAGATGGAGTTTGTAGACTTTTTCTGCCTGGACTGGCTTCCCACTATGGTATTCTGGAAGTCAGCCTCCTAAATAGCCACTACATAGATATTAACTTTTCCCAATTTGGTAAATAGGTGGTTATTACTTTGACTAGAACTCTCTAGACTCAGGGCCTGAATGATGTCCCTGAGATTTTTTTTTTTGCCTTGCTCAAGGCTAGTGCTTTACCACTTAAGCCATAGTTCTACTTTCAGGTTTTTGGTGGCTAGAGATACAAGTCTCATAGCCGGACACTGGTGACTTACACCTGTAATCCTAGCTACTCAGGAGGCTGAGATCTGAGGATCATGGTTTACAGTCAGCCAAGGCAGAAAAGTCCATAAGACTCACAGAAAAAGCCAGAAGTGGTGCTGTGGTTCAAGTGGTAGAGCGCTAACCTTGAGCAAAAGGAGCTCACGGACAGTGCCCAGGCCGAGTTCAAGTCTTAGGACCAGCAAGTAAAAAAAAAGTCTCATGGACTTTCAGGACTGGCTTTGAACCATGAACCTCAGATCTCAGCTCCTGAAGAACTAGGACTGCAGGTGTGAGCCACTGGCACCTGGCAAGGTATAGTCCAGACTGGTCTTGAACTTGTCATCTTTCTGCCTTATCTTCCTCACTGATGTGTGAGGAAGTGTGCCATCCCAGCCAGTTGGAGGTGTTTTTGAGTCAGAGTTTCACTATGTACACCAGGCTGGCCTTGAATTCACATCCTCTTGCTTCAGCCTCCCCAGTGCTGGGATTATAAGGGTAACCACCATAGCTGATTTCCTGATAATCTAGGCTTCTTTGATTAGCACCAGGTGTGTGAAGACCGCTCCTCAGTTCATTCAGGACATTCTCTCCCTACCTTACTGCCGAAGTTCAGTTCACTCTGAATACTCTGTCCTGAAGTTCTGACTGGCAGCCATGCTCTGCTGTCCCTGGGGGCATGTCAGACCACCCAGGCTTGCATGGCTATAGGCTCCAGAGATCAGTAGACCACCCTCATGCCCTTCCAGACTTGTAAGGCTGAAATGATTTACAAAGTAGTTTTTAAAAACCTCTCAATAAGTAGTATTTAATTTTAAAAGTTGTTTTTAATAATACTTGCATGGGGGCTGGGAAGGTGGCTCAGTGGTAGAGTGCTTGCCTCGCATGCATGAGGCCCTGGGTTCGATTCCTCAGGACCACATAAGCAGAAAAAGCTGGAAGTGGCATTGTGGTTCAAGTGGTAGAGCACTAGCCTTGAGGTGAAGAGCTGAGGGACAGCGGCCAGGCCCAGAGTTTAGTCCCCCCAACTGACAAAAAAAAAAAAAAAAAATACTTGCATGGACCTCCGGGTGGAGTTTGATAAGAAATCTTTTCCTCTTGAAGCTTAGTTTACGGACCTTGGACCAGTTGAAGGTATTTATTTTGGTGGTCCCCTGGAATGCAGAAGACAGATGTAAGGTGACATATCTGTACTATAAACACAAACTCCTTCTCATCAAATAAGCCGCACAGCAACTTGCTGCCATTAAAATGTCAGCTTGACATGATGCCACTTCATCTGGAATGTTAACATGAAACATGCTAAGCTGCTTCAGAATGATGGCTGGGCTTAACAGGGTTTTATTACATAAAAAAAATCAGTGTTTACATCACACATTTGAAGTCCACTCCAGCAAAGGGAAGGGATATGGAAGGGGCAGTGGTGGTTGGACTGGGAGTAGTGTCAGGTTTCTCTCTGTAGGAAAGACCAGAGGAGCCCTGGCCAGCTGGGCTGGACTACAGCTTCCACATCTACAGATGGACAGACAGAAACAAATGCAGGGCGTGAGCAGGTACACTCAATGTATGTAGCTTTGAGAAGGGTCAGGGGAGGTGACGCTCAAGTACCCTAAAAGCAGCAAGCACTCTGAGCTCTGAGTCCATGGAGCTTGTCTCCTCCTCCCTGCCCCCTCCTCTCCAGTCTTTGCCTCCCCTGCTCTCTTCCCTCCCCCCTCCTCTCCTTTCTCGTCCCTTCCCCTCTTCTCTCCACCCCTCCCCACTTCTTTCTTTTCCCTGTAGATTTTTTGTCACTAGTGGGGCTTACACTCAGGGCCAGGGTGCTGTCCTGAGCTTTTTTTTTTTTTTTGGCTCAAGGCTAGCACTCTTACCACTGAGCCACAGCCCACTTTCAGTTTTCTGGTGCTTAAGTGGAGATGAGTCTCATAGCCTTTCTGCCCAGGCTGGCTTGAACGGCAATCCTCAGATATCAGTCTCCTGAGTAGTAGCTAGGATTATGGGTATGAGCCACCTGCACCTGGCATGATCGATCTATCTATCTATCTATCTATCTATCTATCTATCTATCTATCTATCTATCTATCTGCCCCCCACCCCCATAAGGCTTGAACTCTTGACCTGGGCAATTGTCCCTGAACATTTTTTGCTCCAGGCTAGCACTCTATCACTTGAGCCACCAAAGCCACTTATAGTTTTTTCTGAGTAGTTTATTGGAGAGATCCGGAGGAGGTGTGGCTGCATTGATGACTTCAGGGCCTAAGGGAACTCCCACTGCCCCTAGGTATGCCACTTTGAGTAGCATATTGGAGATAAGAGTCTCCTGCCCAGGCTGGCTTTGAGCCACAATCCTCCTATCTCAGCTGCTTGAGTAGCTAGGATTGCAGACATGAGTCACTGGTGCCTGGATTCTTTTTTTTATTTTTTTTTGGGTCCGGTCATGGGGCCTGAACTCTGGGCCTGGGCGCTGTCCCTCAGCTCTTCAGCTCAAGGCTAGCGCTCTACCACTTGAGCCACAGCGCCACTTCCGGCTTTTTTCTTTTTGCTTATGTGGTGCTGAGGAATCGAACCTAGGGCCTCAGGCATGCAAGGCAAGCGCGCTCTACCACTGAGCCACATTCCCAGCCCTGGTGCCTGGATTCTTATGGATTATTCAGTCTCACGTAATAGTCCAGACTGGCCTGGAACTTCCTGCTTCTGCCTCAAGGTATGCTCCACAACACTTGGCCATAGATCTTGGCTTCTACATGTTATTCTCCACTAAAATGGGAGCCCCCTTGGAGAAACAGCTGATGCCAGGACAGGGAAGATTATGTGCTGTATGATAAAACAAGTGATCAAAAAGTAAAGGTACATATCAAAATGACACAGAAACCTATACTAAATGTCAGGGGCTAGGAAGGTGGCTTGGAGGTAGAGTGCTTGTCTCACAAGTATAAGGGTACAATTCCTCAGCACCACAGCACATACCGCTGTGGTTCAAGCGGTAGAGTGCTAGCCTTGAGCTGAAGAGCTGAGGGACAGAAAGTAGGCTGAGTTAAAGCCCCAGGATTGGCAAAAAAAAAGAGAGGGGGGTGGAGAAGGGAGGAAGGGGCTTGGAGAGAATGAGGGAACAGATGGCACTGTATGAAAGGAAATGTGCTCATTACCTGACGCATGTGAATATAACCCCTCTGTGCATCACCTCCATAATAACAATTCAGTAAATAAAAAAAAAAAGACTTAAAAAGTATGAAGGCCCTTTCTGATAGTCCATCCTCTACTGTTGACATCAACTCCATTTACTCTCTTCTGAAAACAGTGAGGCAAAGACTGGGTCTGTCAGATACAGCTGTAAAAGGCGCGAGACCCAACAGAGGTGACCTCTGAGGACAGGAGGCAGCAATGGGGACAAAAGACCGCAGGGTCACATGACCCAGCTATATAAGACATTCAGAACAAGCATGTCCACATGACAGCCACGCCACATTATGTCCTGATTCTGCGTGCTAGTGTTTGTGAAGGCTGTGGGAGGGGCTGCTGGCAGGTAAAGGGATTTTTAAAAATGTATTTTATTAACAGTGCAGCCCAGCTTATAAGCATGCAGTAGAAGCCGTGCCACTCAATGCCTGCCCCATCACCTCATTCTCTACCGCTTTACTCTTGAGGAGATGAGGGTGTTACAGAATTGGATTTGGTGATGGTAACACAACTCAGAATATCCTAAGAACAGATCCACTATACATTCTAGAATGATCAGTTTTATGGTATATGACTTGCATCTCAATTAAAAATATCCTGGCTGGCATAGTGGTACTATACTTCTAGCTACTTGGGAGATGGATACATGAAGATCAAGGTCTGATGCTGATCCAGGGAAAAACCACAAGATTATCTGAAAAACTACAAGTAAAAAGATTGGAGGCCTGGCTCAGGTGGATAGTATTTGCCCGGCAAGCAGGAGACCCTCAATTCAAATTCTAGTACCGGAAAAAACAAAAAAACCCAAAAAACCTGCATGCCTGTCTGTCTTCTGTACAGAAGTTGTGTTGGGCATGATAAAGAATTCTAGGTCAGAAATATTTTTTTGGGGGGTCTGGTCGTGGGGTTCGAACTCTGGGCCTGGGCGTTGTCCCTCAGCTCTTCAGCTCAAGGCTAGCACTCTACCACTTGAGCCACAGCGCCACTTCCGGCTTTTTTTTCTTTTTGCTTATGTGGTGCTGAGGATTCGAACCCAGGGCCTCATGCATGCAAGGCAAGCGCTCTACCACTGAGCCACCTTCCCAGCCCTATAAGTACTTCAAATGGAACTTTTCCCTCATTGCTTCAGCATTTTCCTCTGGTGCTTGTCTTATCTCCTCAATATCTCGAAACTAGATATGAGAGTTCCTGGGTTGTGTTTTTTGAAATTTTGTTTAGCTGGTCACTGGGGGCTCATGCCTGTAGTCCTAAATACTCAGGAGGCAGAGATTTAAGGATCATAGTGTGAAGCCAGCCTGGACAGGAAAAGACTTTGAGACTCTTATCTCCAATTAACCACTAAAAAACTGGAGGTGGAGGGGCTGGGAAGGTGGCTCAGTGGTAGAATGCAGCACTTGCTTTGCATGCATGAGGCCCTGGGCTCGATTCCTCAGCACCACATAAGCAGAAAAAGCCGGAAATGACGCTGTGGCTCAAGTGGTAGAGTGCTAACCTCGAGCTGAAGAGCTGAGGGACAGGGCCCAGGCCCAGAGTTCAGGCCCCATGACCGACAACAAACAAACAACAAAAAACTGGAGGTGGAGCTGTGGCTTAATTGACAGAGCACCAGACTTGAGAGAAAAAAGTAAGAGAAAGTCCAGCCCTGATTTCAAGCCCCAGTATTGGCAAACTGACACATACAGGCCCAGTTCACGTTCCAGCTGCAGGCTTCCCAGGAGCCTGCCTTTCAGGGAGATGTCTTGTTTCTTCCCTCTGACTCATACCACAATGAGGAGACCCTGGCCCTTCAGCAGCACAGGAATCATCTACTCTGTCTCCCATCTAGGCTATAATTGCTGCTTGCACAGATGAACCAAGCTTCTGTTTCCTTGCCCACTGCCCTTGCTGTTAGAGAGCAGTGGGCAGCTGGGAGCCGGGGCTCCAGAATAGTGAAGATGATCACTAATGTTAGAGAAGGACTAGGAAACAATTTCTCCAACACCTCATTCATCAAAAAAAAAAGCTTACCAATCAATAAATGTGACAAACATTCCATGTCACAGTACACCACCACCACCACCACCACCACCACCCACCACCACCACCACCACCCAGCTATGCTCTGGCCCCTCCCTGTCTCCTCCACTGACCTGGAATACGAGGACACCCATGTGAGAGACTGCCAGGTTGATCTTGGTCCCCTCCCGGTCAGAAGCTGTGTGAAACCTGATGCCATACATTTCCAGCTTTCTAGCAATCTCCAGTACCTGGAAATCGGACTCAGCAGGCGTCTGGCCCCTAAAAGGATAAGACAGTTTATTCTATCACTGAAACACTGGGTTTTTAAGAAAGCTAAAATATATTAGAGAAATGACTGGGAAAACAGTGAAATGAAACTACCCAACAGACTAAGAAGGAATGTTTATAGAGGACAGATGGTCCACTGTCTCTGTTTACTGCCTACAAAACCAAAGTACTACAGGACAGACCAAAGAAACAGTTTCTTCGGCATCTATTCCTCTGTCCTATTCTAACCTACTTACAATGGTACAATGTTTCCTTAACATTCACTAGTCTTCAAATTTACTCTAGAATGACAGGTTATATGCAAAAATCATATGTAGCTGCTGAGTATTGTGAGAGAAAATGCCACAGATTTGCATGGAGCCTTATTAAGCTCAATTTAAAATGCTAAAGTAGGAAGTGGCGCTGTGGCTCAAGCAGTAGAGTGCTTACCTTGAGCTGAAGAGTGCAGGGACAGTGCCTAAGCCCAGAGTTCAAGCCCCACAACCAACAACAACAACAACACACTAAAGTATTTTCAGAACACAGCCTTCTGTGAGGATGAAATTATGAAGTGAAGTAACTGTGTGGTTGCCAAACACGTTGGTTTTCTGTCTCAGTGTGCCATGTGTCTAGTGTACAGCCCGGGTCGCCCACAGACAGAAGTGAGAGCAGTCCGTGTCCCACTCCACAGCCTCCAGGAAAGCGTAGGTAGGACACTGCTGTGGGTGCTAATGCACATTGCCTGGCTCTACATGTGGGCTATTTTCTTAGCAATCCTTTTCCTTTTTTTTTTTTTTGTTGGTCATGAGGCTTGAACTCTGGGCCTGGGCACTGCCCCTCAGCTCTTAAACTCAAGGCTACTGCTCTACCACTTGAGCCACAGCACCACTTGTGGCTTTCAGGTGGTTTATCCGAGATAAGTCTCACAGACTTCATGCTCGGGCTGGCTTTGAACTGTGGTCCTCAGATCTCAGCCTCCTGAGTAGCCAGGATTACAGGTATGAGACACCAACGCCTGGCAGAAATCTTTTTCTTTTAGGGTGGAACCTAGCATTTTATTAAGATCTTCATTAAACTGCTGAAATTGAGAAACCTCCAAATATGAATCCCCAAAGGCACTTTCTGCTTGTGGCAAGTAGTCATGAATAGGCATGTAAAATCAAGCTGGCCCCTCCTCTGCGCCACACCGGCCAAGGACGCTTTCTCTATGGCCAGCTGTACCAGTTCAAGTCTCCCTTGTGCGTTAATTGCTCTTACATCAAATGTCTGAACTAGGGCTTCTCAGAGCCTGTAATTTCCATTGCAGACGATCTACAAACACCTGATTACATGTAGACAACGGTCTCCCCAGAACCCTAAACCTACCTGTCCATTTGGGGTTGCTACCTCAGCTGGACACTTCACAGAAAAAAAGCCTCATCCACTCATCCTCCAGGTGTTCTCCCTTCTCTATGTTATAGCAAGGAGGGACTTGTCTCTTATCTCAGAACAGATCTAAACCAGAAGAAGTTCTCTACCTGAGAGAGTACCTTTTTTTTGAGGGCATCAGTGTCTAGCATCTTTCCTGCTACACGTTGGAAGAACTCCAAGGCTTGCATATGGTGAAGCCAAGGGCCAGGAGCTTCCTCAAGGTAAGACCAGGTAAGTAGACTCTAGGCCACAAACACCAATGGACACCAGAGACAATTCCCATGTTGTATCCGAGGTAGAGCTCTGCCTACTGCATCTCCTGTCCAACAGGGGATACCAGTGTGTGCCTATGGGAGTTAAGTGCTTGACAAAGCAACTAGCTTAACCATGAGCATTGCCTTGGGCCACCTGAATCAGCTGGACTTCTGCTCACACCAGTGCTTAAACTGTAACTGTAGCTTCGTGCTCCACTACCCTTCCTGTTCCCAGACAAGCGCTCTGTCTGGATTGCTTCCTCTGTCACCAAGATTAGTGTACATCTGAGTGACAACTCAGATATACCAGGGCCGTCAGCAGGTCCCAGTACAGCTTCACCTACACATCACACGACAAAGTCAACAGGCTCTTTCTTCATGAAGTCAAGGTGAAGCCTTCCAGAGCCATGTTCACAGGCCTAACTCCTCTGGTGAACAGCAGAGCTCCCAGCCCCTGACCCTCAGCCTACCACAGCCTCTCACCATCAGCACCCTCCATTTGATCTGAAGAGCCCACCAGTGACAGTTCTGGCAGAAATCAAAATAGTCAAGTCAAAGATCATGCCTGTCAGCACAGTTCCAATGCCCCACAGGGGCTGATGCCAGCCTGGATCTACTTCACCACAGTGGGGGCTGCTTTCCATTGGAAGTGACTCCTGCCACACTTCAGGGCTAGGGAATGCCTCACGTTCTCCCCCAGGCAGGCAGCAGCTCCTGCCTAGGGAGAGCACTCAGCTCTCGTCCCAGAATTGGGTGCCTTTGCTGCCCCTCCTAAAGCAGTGGTTTGCACATATGCCTGTGCGCTGAGCCTGGGCTGTAGTCAACTGCGAGCAGGTGTGTCCTGAGACCAGGAGGAACAGGTGTCACTTCTATCCAAATCCCTCAGATGCCCGAACAACAGTTTCCCCTGGATTACACACCATCAAGTCCTTACTGCAGGAACTACATACCGGCAGCCATTCCTAGCTGACTTACGTGTGTCCCTGATGGAAGTCTAGTATCTTTCCCAAAAGGTGCTCCTGGGTGGGCAAGTACTTGTTGGATCTGAGGTGCTCTCGGTCCAGAGTTTCATCATAATCTCCTATTTCGGCTGATACAATAAAAGTCAATCATTTGGATTTTGAAATGACAAGTAATTATATAGACAAATGTATAAATTAACATTTAAAACCACCCAAAGTTGGCAGTAATATTCCTAGCCCTCCCTCCCCTATCCCAATATATTGACTGGGCATGGTGCTCCTGCTTGAAGTTGTATAGGTGAAGAAGAGACAGGAGGATCACAGTTCAAGGCCAGCCTGAGGAAGAAGTTAATAGGACCTTATTTCAAAGAACATGTTGCCTATATCTATATCTATCTATCTATATACACACACACAAAATTGTAAGACCATATATGAAAAATAACTAAAGCAAAAAAAGGACTATGGTGTAGCCCAACCTGTAGAGGGCTTGCCTAGGCTGAATTCAAACACTAGTCATTATGTAACAGAAACTCGCAACATTTTGTTATTTTTCCAAGTATTTTATATTTTTCAAAGGCAGGTAAAAGGTTTAAAAAATGTCAGGAAGAGCAAAAACTCAAGAAAACCCCACTGAGAGGCTCCAGTAGGGTATAGGGGAACCCTGGTCTAATATGCTCACTGTTTTCCAAAGCCACACTCTGTAAGTTGTCCTGTGGCTGTGTGACCAAAAGAATATACTTTGTTCCAAAAAATATTTTTTTTTTTGGGTCCAGTCCTGGGGCCTGAACTCTGGGCCTGGGCGCTGTCCCTCAGCTCTTCAGCTCAAGGCTAGTGCTCTACCACTTGAGCCACAGCGCCACTTCTAGCTTTTTTCTTTTTTCTTATGTGATGCTGAGGAATTGAACCCAGGGCCTCAGGCATGCAAGGCAAGTGCTCTACCACTGAGCCACCTTCCCAGCCCCCCCCAAAATATTTTTTAAATAAATTTTCCTTCAGAACTTTTGAAATTTCTTGAAGAATTTTCTCATTTCTTGTATTTTAAGGCTACAAATATGCACACGTGCACACAGACTGGTACTGAGACTAGAACTCAAGAGATTCATACTCTTGTTTTTTCACTCACATTTGTTGTTCTACCACTTGAGCCAGGACACCAATACCAACATGCAAGAGTTCTGCAATCCTCCCCCACAGTATAACCCCTGCTTTCACTGTATTTGATGTTGGTATAATTTGTGGAGGGGAAGGGAAAAAAACAAATCGTTTAAATAGGGATACAGGTGGACCCATTGCAACAATGAGATGTACAAGTTGTTATGTCGAAAGCGAACTTTACAACTTTGTGGGCGGGAGGGAGGGGGACTGGGTGGGGGGTTGGGGGAGGATGGGAAGGGATGGGAAGGGGAAACAAAGGAAGAGGCCACAGTGCTTGATAAGAAATGTACTCATTATCTCGCCCATGTAATTGTAACCCCTCTGTACAGTATGTTCACACACACACACACACACACACACACACACACACACAAAGTCCTGCAATTGTAGACTGCCACCTGCAATGCTCAATCTAATCCTCAGTGTTGTTACCAGGTAGGCTACAGCTGGAGAGCCATGAGTGCTTCTCCATCAGCGACTTGGTTCTGGGGCTTCAGCACAGGGCCTGGGTGACGTATCTCAGCTCTTTTGCTCAAAGCTAGCCCTCTACCACTTGAGCTACAGCTCCATTTCGGGCTTTGGTAAGTAATTGGACATTAGTCTCATGGACTCTTCTGCCTGGGCTGGCTTTGAACTGTGATCCTCAGATTTCAGCTTCCTGACCAGCTGGGATTACAGGCATGAGACACAAGCACTGAGCCTTTCTTTTTCACTTTTTAGTGTATTAGTGTTATAACTGTGGTATTTCCACACATGCATATAATGTACTTTGATCAAATGCACCATTATGCCTTCTTAGGCCCTCTTTTTTCCCATAGTTTATTTCTGAATAATTCTTCACACTCTGCTGTACCATTTTTATTTCATGTGAGATACTGAAGAAATGTTTTCTTTCCTTATGGTTAATGTTTAACTAGTTGGAGGTGACTTTTATTCCAGAAGGACTCCTTTTAGGAATGAAGAGAATTTGGTTTATAGTTTGACTCTAGCCTGAAGTTGAATTGTTGTCGACATGCATGAAGGCAGATGGGTGCGGTGGCACAAAGCCATAACCTCAGCCCTGGGAGGCAGAAGGAAGATAGCAGAGTTCAGGGTCAGTCTGGGCTACAGTGACACTATCTCAAAAACCAAGGGCCAACAAAGTAGATCAGTGGTAGAATGCTTGCCTAACAGGTTGTGAGGCCTTAACTTACATCTCTAGCACTACCAAAAAAATAAATACATAAACGAGAGACAACCCAAAATGATGAATGTGGCTATAGGTTTTGTCTCTATCTCTAGGCAAAGACTGTACCTCAGGAGTTTACAGAAGTTAAACTTCAGCTGATCAGGAATATAATGACTATATGAACTAAGTGCATCAGCTCTGTGACCTGTACCAGCTAGCCTTGGGGCGTAGATACTAACACTGGAGAAGGTGGGAAATGAGCAGGGCTGCAGTGGTGGCAGTGCAGGTCAAGCGCTCCTCCAGAAGGTCCCTTCTTAGTTGCAAGGCAAACAAGTACCTAGAAGGCGACACAACACAAAACACATCAATCTTGAGAGTTCTCTGAACATAACACTGACACCAGCTGTGGAGAGAGCAAACACACCCTGCAAGCAGCAGCAACCAACACTGAGCAAAATGCGGGGCCCTCTTGGAACCAGCAAGGTTACAAAAGGCCTTTCATGCGAAGAGCCAGCAGCAAGCAAAGGTCAGATGAGAAATCGGTTCAGCAGGCTGAGTCACATACGTCAGAGCACTCAAAAGTGCTGAGCATACACAGGCACTGCCAGGAGAACAACAGCAAAGAGCAATTAGCCTTCTCAGGCATACCATATACCCACACAATCACTATCTGCGGCAATACCTTCAAAAGAAAGTTCACAGATACACATTATAAAACTGAACTCAACGTTTTATTCAGAAAAGTAGAATTAAAACATAACCCAAAATATGCTTGTGAAGCTGTGTGTGTTTGAGAGAGAGAAAGCGTGAGAGAAAGACAGAGAGACAGAGAGAGAGACAGAAAGAGAGAGAGAGAGTCCTGAGGCTTGAACTCAGGGCCTGGACACTATCCTTGAGCTTTTTTCACTCAAAGCTAGTGCTCTATCACTTGAACCACAACTCCACTTCCAGCTTATTTGGTGTTGGAGAGAAATCTTGTGGATTTTCCTGACTATGTGGCTTTGAACTGTGATCCTTAGATCTCAGTCTTCTGAGTAGCTAGGATTACAAGTGTGAGCCACCGGCACTCCACTCTTGTGAAGCTTTGAGCAGATTGATATTTAGTCTTGGTTAAGATTTGAGACTAGATTTTTTTTTTTTTTTTGGGGTCCGGTCATGGGCCTGAACTCTGGGCTTGGGCACTGTCCCTCAGCTCTTCAGCTCAAGGCTAGTGCTCTACCACTTGAGCCACAGCGCCACTTCCGGCTTTTTCTTTTTGCTTATGTGGTGCTGAGGAATCGAACCCAGGGCCTCATGCATGCATGAGTCAGCCCTGAGACTAGATTTTTGATCTTTTTAGAAATGGGCACTCTGGAACACCAGCAGTGAAAATATAACTAGATAAGGCATTTGAGATATTTGCATATGCATTTATTCCATCAATAAGTAAGCAATGAGCACATATTAAGTTCTTGGAGCTGGAATATAAAGACAAACAATACAAACTCTCTGTCCCCACTGAAGTCTACATTTTAGTTAAATCTATTAAAAATTATCACATTTTCTTAAAACTTAAGATGTGTATGCCTGATACTCAGCAGTTCCATTTCTGTAAACTTTCTACAACAGTTTTCCCAGAGCTTACAAACATTATGAATGTTTCTTTGTAGTGCTTAACAGACAAAAATTAGTCATAAGCCAGGTGCTGGTGGCTCATGCCTGTAATCCTAGCTATATAGGACACTGAGATCTGAGGATTGCGGTCATGAAGACTGAGGTCCCCAGGAAACTCATCTTCAATTAACCATTCAAAAACCGGAAGTAGAGCTGTGGCTCAAAGTGGTGGAGTGCTAGCCTTGAGCAAAAGAGCTCAGGGACAGCGCCCAGGAATGGAAGGACAAAGGGTGAACAAGTGCAGCAGTGGTACTCACTAGGCACTATGTTGAAAATGAACTACACCACCTGTGGGTGGGGATGGGAGAGAAAAACTGGGAGAGAACGAGGGAAGAGGTGACATTGTCCAAAAAGAAATGTACTTATTACCTGACTTTTGTAACTATAATCTCTGTACATCATCTTTATAACAAAAAACTTACAAAAATTAATACGTGAATGAGAATAAAAAATACAAGGACGCTTCCCTAACTTTGATCAGATGACTACATTTTCTTTCAATAATTTCTACAGAAAATCAAACATGAATTAGAGTACTCCATATATTCATAAGAATTATCAGACAGTGTACTTCTCCTAATTACATAGATTTTTTAACATGCATGCATGAGCAAAGTATCTACAAACTTTACCCACATGCATAACTCTCAGCTTACCTGAAAGGGTGCTGGCTCAACATCACCTAACACCACACTCCAGTCTTTGTTTTCATGTCTCTTCGATAAACCTTTCCTCTACTGCACACTTGTGTTTGTGCAGGAAACAATGGCCAGAATGCTTCTTTTACTACTCTACCTTTACTCATCATTATGTATATACTAGCTCATTCTGTTGGCTGAATACAAGACCCTGCTCAAGTTCAATGTTTGTTATTCACTCTTAACCAAAGACAGATGAATACAAGACCCTGCTCAAATTCAATGTGAGTTATTAACCTGGTATATTCTTCTTGCAACTGACCAGGATCAGGTGGGAAAAATTTTACAGCCAGGCGAAGCACTGTGTTCTTTGGCCCTACAAGAAAAAAAAGTCAGTTTCAAAACATCAAGCCAATCTTTGTATTTCCTGTTTTGTTAAAAGTATTTTTTTTCAAATAAGAAGGTATTAGGAAATAATGTCCTGGAAGTGGCACTGTGGCTCAAGTGGTAGAGCGCTCACCTTGAGCTGAAGAGCTGAGGGACAGCGCCCAGGCCCAGAGTTCAAGCCCCACGACCAACGAAAAAAGAAAAAAAGAAATAGTTTCCTGGCTGGTTATGTGTGGCATATGCCTATAATCGCAGTTACAAGGGAGGCGAAAGTAGGAGGATTATTGTCAGATGCCTGACCAGGCAAAAGCTATGCCCTATCTGAAGAGCAAAGGAAATCCTTAAAAGACTGGTGGTGTGGCTCACATGGTAGAGGGCTTACCAGCAAGCATGAACTCCGGAGTACAACTGCCAGTACCATAAAAAAAAAGTTCTATGAATTTAAGTATCCATCACATGCATTAAAGAAAAACTGTATATCTTTTGACTAACTTACTCAAGGAACTTTAAAAAATAAGGAGGAAATCACACATTAAAATTTAAAATAAGGTTGGTAGGGCTGGGAAGTTGGCTCAGTGGTAGAGCGCTTGCCTCTCATGCATGAAGCCCTGGGTTCAATTGCTCAGCACCACATAAGCAAAAAAATAAAATAAAATAAGGTTGGTAGTAATGGTGCCTGTTTGTAATCCATCTCAGCACTTGGGAGAATGAGTCAGAAGCATACAAGTTCAAAGCCAGCCTGGGTTATGAAGTGAGACCCACTCTCAAAAAAAAAAAAAAGAGGGTGCTCGTGGTTCATGCCTGCAATACTGGCTATGTGGGAGTCTGAGATCTGAGGACTGTGGTTCAAAGATAGCCCAGGCAGAAAAGTCCTTGAAATTCTTATCTCTAATTAAGCAGCAAAAAGCAGGAAGTGGGAATGTGGCTCAAGTAATAGAGCACTGACTTTGAGTGAAAAAGCCAGGGAAGAGTGTAAGGCCCAAGTTTGAGCCCCAGTACTGGTAAAACAAACAAATAAATGCCTTCCTCCCCACCCCAAACCCCACAAACATAAGCTCCACCATATTCCTGTTGATAATACTAGGATAAAAACAACAAAGGGGGGCTGGGAAAGCGGCTCAGTGGTAGAGCGCTTGCCTGGCATGCCTGAGGCCCTGGGTTCCATTCCCCAGCACCACATAAGCAAAAAGAAAAAAGCCAGAAGTGGCGCTGTGGCTCAAGTGGTAGAGCACTAGCCTTGAGCTGAAGAGCTGAGGGACAGCACCTAGGCCCAGAGTTCAGACCCCACGACCGGACCCAAAAAAAAAAAAAAAAAAAAAGAACTAAGAAACAATATTATATCCCCCCCTTTTTTTTTTTGTAGGTCATGGGGCTTGAACTCTGGGCCTGAGCACTTCAGCTCTTCAGCTCAAGGTTGGTGCTCTACCACTTGAGCCACAGTGCCACTTCTGGTTTTCTTTTTTTCTTTTTTCTGCCGGTCATGGGGACTGAACTCTGGGCCTGGGTGCTGTCCCTCAGCTCTTCAGCTCAAGGCTAGCGCTCTACCACTTGCGCCACAGCACCACTTCCGGCTTTTTTCTTTTTGCTTATGTGGTGCTGAGGAATCAAACCCAGGGCCTCAGGCATGCAAGGCAAGCGCTCTACCACTGAGCCACCTTCCCAGCGCCCCCTACAACTGATTCTTCTAGGGGATACTACAATATTATTTCATCCTCTGAAAACTGTTAGTTCTGCCCAGGAGAATAGCCCACTTCCTCCCACTACTTTCCATGAAGGATAGTACATAGCCTTACCAGAAATCACCTGTCCCAAACCTGTAATTACCCGTAACTGTCAATCACCTGACTGGAAGTCAGGAAGGGACCCAGGCTCTGAGGTCACTGCTGCACCCACTGCGGCCACGCCTTATCCTCACCTTCCCTCTACAATCTCTCTCTGACATTAGTTCTCTCTCTGTACTTCTAAATCTGGTGCAGGCCAGTGGTTTGGTTCTCCCAATAAACTCTTCTGTCTGAACAGTGTGGTGTGCATACTTTCTTGCATACTGGCCAAAAATTAAGATATTAACTTAGCAGTCACATATTCTATGACTTCCAAACTGGAGGCAACTCATGAGGGTTGAATTAAATATACTGGACCCTCCCACCTCTCTGTTCTAGCTTAACTGCAAGGCAACTTTTTTTTTTTTTTTTTCTGGTCATGGGGCTTGAACTCTGGGCCTGGGCGCTGTCCCTCAGCTCTTCAGCTCAAAGCTAGAGCTCTACCACTTGAGCCACAATGCCACTTCTGGGTTTTTCTGCTTATGTGGTGCTAAGGAATCGAACCCAGGCCCTCATGCATGCAAGGCATGCGCTCTACCACTGAGCCACCTTCCCAGCCAACAAGGCAACTTTTAAGTGTGTCAGCTGTGGATGATTACTTGACTACCATCTACAAAGAGTAGTGATGAACAGACAAGCACATGCCTGCAGCCTGAATGAACGTCCCAGAGTAAGGCATCTTTCTTTTTTGGTAGTAACGGGGTTTGAATTCAGGGCCATGAGTCATTTCTGCAGCCCTTTTGCATTAGTTATTTTTCAGGTAGGAACTCATGTGTTTTACTTGGGCCAGCCTGAGACTGAGATATTCCTACCAAGAGCCTCCTGCACAGCTGGGAAGACAGATGTGCACCAACATACCAAACTTTTTCTGGAAAGGTTTGAGGTGGCCTCAAACCTTGATCTTCCCAATCTTTGCCTCCTGTGTAGCTAGGACAAGCATGAGCTATACTCATATCCTACCATGAAGCATCTTGAATAGAATTTTAGCGTTAAAGGACTTACTTCGTACTTGTCTAATGATGGGTTTCATAGGTTCAAGCCAAATCTAAAGAGAATTTAACAGAAAAGAATATATTAATTTCATTTAATAAGTATAATATAAACTTTTTAAAATTAAAATTAAAAGATTTTCTTTTTCGGTCATGGGGCTTGAACTCTGGGCCTGAGCACTGTCTCTCAGCCCTTCAGCTCAAGGCTAGTGCTCTACCACTTGAGCCACAATGCCACTTCCAGTTTTCTGTGGTTAACTGGAGATGAGTCTCATGGACCTTCCTGCCCTGGCTGGCTTTGAACTGAGATTCTCAGTTAAAGGCATGAGCCACTGATACCAGCTAAAAGAATTTTTGTAACAGAATTTTTGTGGGCTGGGATGGTAGCTCAGTGGTAGAGTGCTTGCCTTGCATGCATGAAGCCCTGGGTTTGATTCCTCAGCACCACATAAGGAGAAAAAGTGGGAAGTGGTGCTGTGGTTCAAGCAGTAGAGCACTAGCCTTGAGCTGAAGAGCTAAGAGACAGCCCAGGTCCAGAATTCAGGCCCTACGACCTGCAAAAAAAGCATTTTTGTGTGCATGAATGTGTACAGCAGTACTGGGGCTTACGCACAGGAACCTGTGCTCTCATGCGGCTTTTCCACTCAAGGTTGGTGCTCTACCATGTAGGCTCTGTGCTGGGTGACTAGAGGAAAGAGCCTCACAGCCCTCCTGCTGGGGAGTCTGAGCCACAATCCTGACATCTCAGCATTCTGAGTAGCCAGAATTAAACACATGAGCCACAAGCACCTGGCTCTTAATCTTTTTGCTTTGTTTTTGGTTTTTTTTTTTCAAGCCTAGGGCTTGGACTCAACCTGATGTTGGTCCCTGAGTTTTAATCTAGCCTCTTTGGGTTTTGGCGATTAACTGGAGATAAGAGCTTCATGGACTCAAACCATGATCTTCAGATCTCAGCCTTCTGAGATTATAGGTCTGAGCCCCTGGTACCTGGCCCTAAAAATCTACTTTTGACATAGCTTTTGGGGCAGGGTACATTAGAGGTTGCTGTGGTAACACAGAGAAAGGAAGGCTTTCCTTGGCATTATATGCAACTGGATGGAAGAGTTAGAGGGATGTGCATTTGGACTTAAAGAACTAGGGTATGCATTCAAATGAAAAGCAGAAATGTTGAAATGTTCCTTGTAGCTAAAAATATTGTAATAGCACAGCTTTGATCAGGACATGCCAATTATCAAACAACTGACATCATTAAAGTAGGTTCTGAAGGGCTCTTTGTATACCAAGAACAGAGCTAAAGTCAGACGCACATACCCAGCGGGACTGAATGTCCTGAAACTCCAACCCAAAGTAGTCACATTCGATCAGATTCAAATGCTTCCACACTTGTGTGAGCAAGTTCTGGCCGTCACATTTAGGCTACAGGGAGACAGATGGGAAAAAGCTTACAGGCTGAGTGGTGAACAAAGATTACTTAGGAACACTGGCATAAAGTTACATTCCACCATATAACTTCAGCTCATTTCTTGCTCATTTTACCTTCAAGAGTGTAAGATTTATAAACAGCCACATAACAAGTAAATGAGAGATATCTGTGCTTAGGGACTGACAGAAATACATTCATAAACACACTTCTATTTTACATTCTTATTATGATTTAGGGTATCTTTGTAACTTTACACTGCAGAAACCATTTCCAGTTTCAGATAATATATATATATATATATATATATATATATATATTTTTTTTTTTTTTTTTTTTTTTTTTTTGGGTCTGGTTGTGGGCCCTGAACTCTGGGCCTGGGCGCTATCCCTCAGCTCTTCATCTCAAGGCTAGCGCTCTACCACTTGAGCCACAGCGCCACTTCCGGCTTTATTCTTTTTGCTTATGTGGTGCTGAGGAATTGAACACAGAGCCTCATGCATGCAAGGCAAGCGCTCTGCCACTGGGCCACCTTCCCAGCCCCAGTTTCAGATAATATTTTATCAAGTGAAAATTTGATATTTGCTAAAATGCTGAGACCAACAGTCTTACTACTTGAGAAGAACAGGGGCTGTTGAGATAAAAAACAAAAACAAAAACTTCTGAATGGAAAGATGTTTAATAAAATTAAACATACTGAAAAAATACAATTTATCTACTCTTATGAACTGAGTGAAGAAAAACAAATGGTTGTTAGAAATTTTAAAAAGTTCTTAATCTCTCTAATAAAAGGATAAAGTAGTAAAACCATATTTCCTCTATCACAGAGATCAGAAGAATCTGTGAAAAAGCAGGTAATCCCCACATAGTACTAAGGAGAGTGTAAATTAGTACAACTTTGGAGGGGTGATTTGCAAACACTTCAAAACTTAACACTTATTAGCAAGAATTTTCCTCTGTGAACACTTTCATATGCATATAGCTAGTTATACAAGAACAAATTTGGTAAAACTAGTAAGTAAGTAATAGTATGGCTATAATGGAGAATTATGCAACCTCAGAAAGAACACAGAAGTCTGTGTACAATGGAATATAGAACAGACTGCAGGTTAGGTAAGATGAAAACTCAAGATCTCCATTTCTACGAGGTGTATGTAATATGATTCTCTTTTATAATACACATGATATTTACAAGTTTATATACAATAAACTTAAACTGTATACATCAAACCTTGAAAAATTACTACCACTGCAGGACTGATTAGAGATAGGAGGAGGAGGCAGGATTTTTTTTAAAGGTTTTTTTTTTCTTATTTACTCCTGTAATGTTTCAACTTTTTGTTTTTGGTCCATTCCTGGGGCTTCAACTCATGGCCTGATTCAGTCCCTAATCCTCCCTCTCTCTCCCTCTCCCTTCTCTCAAGGCTAGAGTCCTACCATCTGAGCCACAACTCCACCCCAGCTTTATGGTGGTAAATTGGAGGTAAGAGTCACAGAGACTTTGCTTGCTGGATTAGCTTTGAACCGCAATCCTCAGATCTCAGCCTCCTGAGTAGCTAGGATTACATCATAGGCCCTGCATCAACCCATTTTCAATACTGAAAACACATATTCAAGTGTAGAAGGGCAAGTCTCCATTTTTCCCGAGCATCTTATACTCCTTGAAGTTTAACCAACAGATCTTCTGTGTACTAGCAATGTTTATGCTACTAGAGAAATTACTCTTGAGGAATAAAAACCTATAATCACTTGAAATAAAGATGTATTTAAAGAATGAAAATGTATGGGCTGGGAAGGTGGCTCAGTGGTAGAGCGCTTGCCTTGCATGCCTGAGGCCCTGGGTTCCATTCCTCAGTACCACATAAGCAAAAAGAAAAAAGCCAGGAGTGGCGCTGTGGCTCAAGTGGTAGAGCGCTAGCCTTGAGCTGAAGAGTTGAGGGACAGCGCCCAGGCCCAGAGTTCAGGCCCCACGACTGGACCAAAAAAAAAAAAAAAGAAAATGTAGTGAACATCTCCCTAGGACACAGTGACTTACGTTGTAAATCCCATTTATAAATGAAGAGTAAATCTTCTGGGTTGAAGTCATTCTGACATCATCCTGTAAACACTGCTGTGATACCATGGTCATCTTGGAAGACCCTGACGGTGCTCAGTAACTCAGTGAGAATGTGTCTATGCCAGGGCTTCTCAGACCAAGCCATGGAGCAGCTTGGGTGGTTGCCAATTGGGAATCATGACAGCCATATTGTCTGTTGAAATCAATTCCTTGAGAACCAAAATCCATGGGGTTAAGCAGGATGCTGGCAGCTACCAGGAGGCTGAGATGTGAGGATCTAGGTTTGGAGCTAGCCTGAGCAAGAGAAGTACCTGTGAGACTCATCTCTGGTTAACCACTGAAATGCTGTAGGTAGAGCTGAGGCTCAAGTGGTGAAGTGCTAGACTGAGCAAAAAAGCTCAGACAGCACTCAGGCCCCGATCTCAGGACTGGCACGCTGGGAAGCAAGCACGCACATGCACACACTACCAGGAATTCTGAAGCAGGGTTGTAAAACCTGGAAAAGGTTTGAGAGACTGGCATGCTACCCTCTTCCTTACTGGAAAGTGCTGAATCTTGGATGCCGGAGACCTTGAAGGCTGGACAAAACAGCTGACAGCTTAACTTTGGGGTACTACATAGCAAGACTTCATGTCTGGACCTTCCTGAGGGTGCAGTCTCCTGTGTCATAAGAATAAGGGAACCAGGGCTGGGAAAGTGGCTCAGTGGTAGAGCGTTTGCCTTGTATGCATGAGGCCCTGGGTTCGATTCCTCAGCACCACATAAGCAAAAAGAAAAAAGCCGGAAGTGGCGCTGTGGCTCAACTGGTAGAGCGCTAGCCTTGAGCTGAAGAGCTGAGGGGCAGCGCCCAGGCCCAGAGTTCAGGCCCCACAACTGGTCTCCCCCTGACCCCCCAAAAAAAGAATAAGGAAACCAGTGTCTCTCATCCATGATGATCCTCCCTCCCAATGGGAACTTGGGGCCCAAGTGCTATGAGAGCCGGAGGACTGCGGGTTGGATGCCTCCTCCCGACATGAACCCCCAGACGCTAAGAGGCCCCTGGAAAAGTCACTCACTCCCGGCTTTACAGGAGTCCAGACTTGTATCCTGGATGTGGGCTAATTCAACCCCAAATTTTCTGGAACCTTGGGGATAGACCAAAGCCTGTGCAAATTGTAAGTCATTTACGGCTTACCTCTACTTCCTAAGATAAGGAAGTCATTTATCACTTGAGTAAGGTTATATCACGTTGGTGCTTGTGACTTAAGGAATATTGATACTTCACTTTCTGCACATAAGCCCCTGTACCCAACTAAATAAATACTTTGGTAAAGGGACTTCGGGAACCTGAAGCTGGTGGAAGGCTTCAGGCCCTGGAACCCCACACCATACGGCCATGGTTGGTCTCCATTACTGCCCTGGCCCTAGTTGCAGTGGGTTGGACCCCGGGTGTCCCGCTGTCTCTCTATGTCTCTGTGTTTTTCTAGTTTTCTTGGTCTCTGGTGTCTTGTCCTACCGCCTTGTTGCAGCCAGCAACACAGAACCATCCACTAGGATACAGAGTTATTCTGGGGAAGGCTCTCAGACCACCTGTTGCCTACCACTCCATCCCCTTCCCCAGCATAGCCGTATGGGGCACGATCCAGACAGGGCTCTTCCTGCTTATAGGGCTGGCTGCATTCAGGACTGAGGGTGGATGTGATGTGGGGAAATGACATGCACCTCAAGTATTCCATTATGGGAAACTCCCTGTCACTTTCCTTTGTGAGCCTCCAGTGTATCCCTCATTTGCGATACCTCCTTAACACCAGCTGATTTACTTATTGTTTGGTTTGCTCTTTCTACCAGGTGAATCTGAAAGGAAGAAATTGGGTCTTCATCCTGTGTTGCTAGGCCTGGCATTTGGCAGTCTGCTACAAAAGGCACAACTCCAAACCCCCTCACAACGCTCTGATTCTGATGGTTTGGGGGGGAGTAAAGTCCTATGTCAAGTGAACAGTGAGAAGGCAATTCCCCCAGTCCCTCCCTGGTCTTCTGCCTGGCTATCGCAGATGCCAAGGTATCTACTCCCCTGAGTGATAGGGAAGCCCATGTGCCAATCATGCAAACACACATGCTGGGTTCAAGATGCAGCCTTATTTTCCAGGAATGTCCTACATGGATTTGCATATACACACATACACACTTTTCTCAACTCCCCCAAAAGCCCTTAGAATTGCATATTTTTACAAACTACAAAGGAAGATATTTTCAATGCAATTTAAATTTCTCCAAAGCATGGAAGATTTCCCCCCCAAAACACAAAGACATCTACATCCCTGCAGAAAAATATACATTTATAGATATTAATAAAAATATTTAAAGGACAATATTGGTAAATATAAGCCAGTAACAATTAAAATAACTCTATACCATAAATTTTATAGGAAGTTTATTACTATGTCACATCAATAAACCACACAGAAAATAAATCATATGATTGGTTCCAGAATAATTTGAAGAAAGCAAAGATGTGGTTCAAGTGGTAGAGTGCTGGCCTTGAGGGAAAAAGCCAAGTGAAAGGGTGAGGAATGTTGTTCAAGCCCCAGGACCAGCCCCAAGAATAAACAAACCAAAGAATAATTTGAAGGTTAAGAAGGTATCTAATTTAATTAAATTTCTAGTGTCTCTCTCCCATCTTCCCAGGGCTTTGCATATGCTAGATAAGGGCTCTACCATTGAGATATGCTCCAGACCCTCTATTTCTAAGTGTGTTTGTGTGTGTGCCTGCACATATGTGTGTGTGTGTATGTGTGCGTGCACGCATGCATGCTGGTACTCGGATCACATTCTTTATATATATAATTATTATTTTTTTTTTTTGGTCTGTCATAGGGCTTGAACTCTGGGCCTGAGCACTGTCCCTCAGCTCTTCAGCTCGAGGCCACAGTGCCACTTCTGGTTTTCTGGTGGCTTTTTGGA